AAAGAAAAATAAGAGATATAATACCCACAAGCTCACCTTTATTTCAAAAGAATTTGGCAACTACCAACTTCATCCCTCAAGATCCAAGAAAACTACTTGAGTTCTTGTGAATAATGTGCTGTTGTCCCATTATCCATGCGTGCCCCAGTATTTTTCATGTTAATTATGTAATCAAGTGATCACAGTCTTAGCTATAATCAGACTTGTCAAAACATTAAAGAAAGCAGAAGGTTCTGGGCTTACCCTTTCAGTGTTATGGGATAGTCAAACTGCCATTTGTTAGAATAACTACAAAGTAATTTGGCTAAGAGTTTGGGAATTCATGAGTCATTTGCTGTCCCAGATTTTTACCCCTGAGTGTTATCAGATTATTAATATATATGCACATTACAATCTGATGTAAATAAATAAATAAACAAAACAGGGTGGGGTGGGGTGGGGTGAGGAGACAAAGAATAGACTGTTTGAAAGCGATAATATCAGGTTACTTACTTACACTGAAGAAGTAAGACAAGGAGAACATCGATAGTAGGCGTAACTACAGCACCCATCCCTGAAGACTGGGGAACCTTGTCAGGTCAAAGCCAAGAAATTCCAAATGGCTGTACATGTTCCATTCCTGAAGGCAGACAACATGAGGTTGGATTTTATCATCAATGTATCACTCCACAATAGATCAAATTGGGAACTGGGGTGTGAATCTTGGAAACATCCTTATGCTATAGAATTAAAAGTAAAGAGATTAGGTTAGTAGATAGGTTTTGGCATCTAAGAATAACAAGCATAATGTCCAGGCTGCTCAATGAATTTCGAAGACGTAATAAAATGCTAACTCATCACTGCAAACACTTGGATATCATGGCCAGGGTTTCCAGTACTGATAACTTCATATTACTCCTGACAGTCAGCTCAAGGTTTTTAAATAGAAAGGAATCAGATAGACCAGTATAAATACTGGAAATTACATTCTGCAACAGGCCAAGAAAATGAATAAGGGCATATGGATGGAGTGCTTTAGAAATGGGCAAAGAATTCCATCAATTCTGAAGGAAATTTGGTAAATTACCAAAAGACCACAGTTATTTAAATATAAAGAGTCTTTAAGAGACCAAGTTAGGATGATTTATCCATTTTTTTAAAACTTCTGCAAAAAAATTCTAATTCCAGGTTGTTTTTTGGCCTACTACTTACTGCTGTATTTCTCAGCCTTCCTGATTGTGTCAATGAGTTCATTTGGGATCATTCTGTTTAAAAATTAGAATAAGCAATACATTACTTACAAGCTATGATTACTGAAACATTGTTTCTTGTTACCTGCTACTTTGTAATATGTGCTGTCTTAGTCTGTTTGGGTTGCTAAAACAAAATACCGCAGATTGGGTAGTTTATAAATAACAGAAATTTATTTCTCACAGTTCTGAAGGCTGGAAGTCTGAGATCAAGGTGCCAGCACAGTCACATTCCGAAAGCCATCTTCATGGTTCATAGCTGGTGTCTTCTCATTGTGTCTGCACATGGTGCAAGGGACTAGGGAGCTCTGTAGGGTCTCTTTTGTAAAGGCACTAATCCCATTCATGAGGGCTCCACCCTCATGACCTAAACCCCTCCCAAAGGCCCCATCTCCTGATACAATCAAATTGGAATTAAGATTTCAATGTGATATTTGGGGCTTACACAAACATTCAGGCTATAGATTTGCTATTCCTCTTTATTATGGAGTTTATCAATCAAATGCTGAATTAACTTTAGGACATAAAACACTGGGCTAAATATAGCTGGAATTGGAGCTAGTTTTAGCTTTTTCAATTATTTGGGGTGTTCATGAACAAAGTCACAACCAACATGAACCTGTTTCCTTGTCAATAAAATAAAGTCACATACGCTATACTTCCCATGAAAATTTTTAGGACGAATTAAAGTCAATAACAATTGTGCTTATTTGTAAAACACTTGTAAAAAAGGACATAGTTAAAACTCATATTCTGGTTGCATTCAATTACTTATATTGAAAAAGATTACATTTCAGATTACTTAATCAGAATTGCGACAGGGTGAGGAAGAACAAATAGCAAATGGCACAACAGGTGATGCAGAGTAGAGAAGGGACAGAAAAAGGGCTGATGTGGATACGGATCAGGGATGATAAAGGAGCTGGAAAGAAATGTAGATGAATTATAAGACATAATGAAGAAAAAAAAAAACAGGGAAGAAGGCCACTCACTCCAAGATCTGAGATATTCCACTTCCAAGATCTGTATCTGCTTTTGCTGCTTCTTAAATAGCCAGATGCCCTTGGTTGCCTTGTCCCTACTTTTGAATAGGGAATGTGAGAGTTGGAAACTACTCCGTAATTTACAAAAGTTACACAACGTGGACTTTTCCCATTCCCTCTTAAATTCTTCTTCCCCATTAAGGGATACCACAAAACACTCCCAGTGAGGACCCTGCTCTGATCCCAGTCGCCGTCAGTTGAGATAAAGTGACAACATTGAGTGACTCCTGCCTCTTTAGACACAGGCTTACCTGTCCCCAAAAGCTCCCCCACCCCACCCCACCCCAACGCCCTTACCTTTGGTTCGTCCTGGAGCACTTAAAAACTTTCCTTCTTTGTGTGTGTTCCAATGGTCGGATGATCAGGTTCATACAGCTCTTTTAAGCATTTCTAGGGCCAAAAACTCAACACCAATATGAAGAGTATGTTTTCACTGTTTTGAGGAATTTGTCCTGTCTTGACAGAATTTCAAGTTAGAAGCTTGGTCTGATGCAAGACATACTCTAGGATTATAGAACAGAAGTAAGGACAAAAAGGAAAAAAAGCTAACATTTCTTTTTCTCAAACTGAGCATATTTTTATTTTCTAGGATCTCCCCCTATCTTTGCTCTTTTTAAGGAAACTTTATCTTGTCCATTCCTACCATCTGCCTGTTAGGCTAGTTCATGGAAGCACCTCCCTCAAGTTTTGTGCCAAGTTGGAGAAAAGCAGCAAAATTCAATTTTACCATTTATTCTCCTTGGTACTTCTGGTGAGAAGTTAAAAAAAATCAGGTGGGAATTTTCAGTAGGACTATTAACAAAACATGAGATTTTTTTGGGAGTTTAATGGCACCATCTTAGAACTCCCTAAGAGCAAGGGGTAGAGTCGCTTAAAGGCCAAATGAACTTCTTCACCAAGTGGCTCACACGTCAAGGGACAGCCCTTTGGCTTGAGTTTATTAATAAAAAGTCTTCAGATGAAGATTTCAATTATTCTCTGACTCCACTGTAATAGAAAAATCAAGAGCAATGGCATGTTTAAAAAAATCGATAAACTTCATTTTGCCTTTCTCAGTATTATAAACCAGGAGAACCTGGTATTTTTTGCTGATCTTGAAGGGATCTTCATAAACTTAATATTAGAGAGTAATTTGTTAAATTTACTCTTTTTTGTTGTTTTTGTTGCCCTGATAATTCCTTTGTTTGTACTTTTCCTCCATAAAATAGGTACTCTGAACTGAAGTAAAATTTCATTCAATTTTGTAGTATTTTTCATTGTATGTGGCATTTAGAAGTGATGAGATTGGGGAATGTGATACATATCCATGGAAATCTGCAAATAATTCCAAATGAACAAACATTCTAATAAATATCTCACTGGTGATAATAGACTTTAAATTGACCTGGGGGGAAAGTAAATAGAAAAAGTTACACAAAATGAGTGTGCAATGTATGTGCCCTTCTACATTTCTGGCTATGAAGGTACTTGTAATAGAACGAATTTCTCATATTAAAACATACGCTAAATTTGTAAAATCTGAGAAGTTTATGACTCATACAGTGGTAGTATAATGTGAAGCAGAACAGATAACTACATTTTTGCCTATGTGACTGGACAGTCTCTATGATTTAATCCCTAATTCAATCCTGGTCTGACTCCTAAGAAATGCCAGTTTTTAACAGTTACAGATCATTAGTTGGATTGCTTGTGTCATTCATTGTGTGCTTTGGGGCAAGTCACAACTTTCTTCCCTCTGGTCTCTCTTTTTTTTTTTATAACTAGGGTATATGCTCTGACATACATACCTCTGAGATTTGTTTTAAGGGTAAAATAAAATAAATATGAGAATTGTCTAAAGAGCAAAGAGATGTCCATTTAACAAATCATGGAGTAGTTTGTATCCTACTCTGGTGGAGTACCCAGTGATGATGGAGATTTCTGATCTCACATGTACCCAAACTCTGGGGCAGGAATTGTGACACACATACACAATGGCAATGATAACTTAAACAAGCCTGTTACTATTCTAAAGTTTAGTCTCCTGTATTTGGAAGATGTGTTCGTGTACAGAATTGTCACCAGAAAGTGTTTATAGCAAACTTTTTATGTCAGAAGTTTATTTTATTGGTAAAATATTAAATAATATACAGAATTAAAAACTGCACTTACACTTCTGAGAAGAAATAAATCTTGGACAAATTATATGCTTGTTCCTGAGATTCCCTAAATTTATTCCAGTAGCTGTGCACTCAGACAGTACAAACCTTTATAATATAATCCTTTTCACAAAGTATTACAAAGTTTCTGCAGCTTCTTTAGTTGTACACACATACAGACATACACTCACACATGCATATACAACACTCATACACGTATACACAGTACCCACATACACGTACAAAGTATGTATGTGTGTGCATTAAAAACAAAGAAAATACAAGTCCCACATTTTAGTCTGCAGTGATAAAACTGTCTAGCAGAGGTCTCCAAATTGGTATATAGCAGAGTGAGTTGTCACACAGCTGCAAAGACTGTTTCTGTATTTCCATAGTAAACCTCATTTTCTGAGGTATGGTATCTGAGCCTTAAAAAAACTACATTACACTGAGCAAACCTGACATACAAGGTCTGGAATTTTAATTTTACATATATATTTATATATATATTTCTTTTTTAAACAACAGTTTTTATTTTCCCAAATCATTAGTTGAAAAAAAATGAGGTTTACTGGTTTGACCTATATATATTTTTTTTTTGCTTCTAAAACTCAAAATATTCTAGAAACTGTCAAGCAATTAGTTTTTAAAGTAGTCTAATTACCTTTGGTATTGTTAAAGAAAAATTCTAAAATGGCCAAGACATATACTGTACAAATTCAGTAATTGCCTTTAAAAGAAATGCCAAAGAAATGTTATCTTTTAACAAAATATGTATTTACAATTACAGCAGTTTTACTACAGGGTCACAGGTATAAAAAAAGAAAACCAGCATACTACATATAAATATGTATGATACGAAAAATACTTTTTACTTAAATTTGTATGAAAACAGGAGTGCTCCAAGTATTTCTTAAAAATTTTCTTCAATAGGTGGTGTTTAAAATTGAGCTAAGTGCTTTGCTTTTATTTTAAAGTTAATTTTCAGAAGGAGAAAAATGAAATAAAAAATAGTCTATTAATTTAAAATATTGGGCAAGGGTCTAAGACAAAAATTCGGTCTTCATCAACTTTTTCAACTTTAGGACATGTTTCTCAGGCAAAATATTACTAATTTCACTGAAATTTAGCCTACTAAAGATACCATGAGATTAGACCAGTGGTTTCCACATTCTCTAATCTTTATATTGTGGAGTGTTTTTCTCTTTGCTTGTGTGTCCTTTAACTAACACCACCACTTTTAAGGGTTTCTTTTTGTCATTACCTAAAGATTAGGTCAGAACAGAAAAAAAAATAAAACCACAGTTTTTAAGACTTCAAGGAAAGTATTGCACTTGTACAGAAAAAAAAGGAGAAATATCTTTTAAACTAAATAGCAGAAACAATTATTCTGAGATTGCAAATAGCACATGGTCTAAAAGGTCCAACTATTAAGAGCAAATATGGAGCCTGGAGAGTCCCCTCCAAACCTGGAATATTATTATAGTAATGTTAAAGCATTTTCTCCCAAGTGGGAGACAGTTAAGACTTTTTGCTTTAGATTTTTAACATCTTTCTAAGTTCTTGCAAAAAACTGTTCAATCTCATAATATACATTTTAGGAGGAAACCAAGTCAGAACACAAAGTCCAACAAAAAAGGAAGGCAAACATATCATATTATGATTACATAATGTCTGAAGTAATATTTTATGTACCCAATATTTGAAAGTGAAAGTAACACAAGGGTTATACCTTATTATTTTTAATCCAACTACTTTTTTTAAAATAAAAAACTACAATTGAGTATAAAAATGTCAGCAGATTATACAGCCAACAAAAATCACACACAAAAAAGTTAAGACTTAAGAGACCAATGAACTGGAAATAAGAATTGATTAGTCTACAAACTAGTGGGGGGAAAGAGAGGCAGAGACAATGACAGAAGGGACATGGACAGACAGGAAGTGTGTGGGGAAGAGTAGACAAAATTTAAGAGATAACAAAGAACTTTGTTACACAAAGGGGAAGTGATTTTTGTTCAAAATCTGGGAGTGCTTGACAGTTGAAATGTTTTATCACAGTTTCAGAAATTGACCTACTTTAAAAAAACAAACACAAAAGAAAAAAAACAACAAAAACCAAAACCCAGAATCCTTCCCTTGTTACAGTGTATTCATTTTTTCAAAGTCCATTTCCAGTAAATTAAATTAAGTAGAATCCTGATAAGTGCATAGTAGGGGATTCAGTGACCTCCACCCGTTTGAGAAGCTTTTCTTACTGTCACTTGAGGTAATTTGAAGGGCCCAATTAACTGCAAACTGGCTTATCTGTACCTAAATGAAGTTATATGTTGTACTCTATGTGGCTTAGCAGAGGGCCTCTACATTTTATATTTTATTCACAATAAAAAGGACATCTTAGAAAACTAGTCATTCACGTACCATTCTCTGTATGGGATAAAGGTTAATCCACAACAAATTTATACAGAAAATATACAAATGTAATGTAATGGGAGAAAAACCCCACAAACAGAATTAGGAACATATTTTTAAGAGTGCATGTGAAAGATATCTAGAAACTTACAGTACAGCAAGAGAAAACTAAAAAGCTAGAAATATAATATTACATAAAAACCTTATGCAAATCCCCAAATTTTAGGTTGTTGCAATAAACGTAAAAATATTCAAGGTGTCATTATTTGGCCTAGCAATACACTATGATTAAAAAGAAACACTAGCATATCACAGCTTCTTGGTCATATGACATTTGCTTTGTATACCAAGCAGCTCACTTTGAAAAAGCTGTCATATCCTAACATATCCATTGCAAGTAATACACAACCATGGTAAGGAAACCATTTGAGATTATGCTTTGGAGAACAGCAATGTTATACGACTGTTGAGTTTAGTTTTGTTCAAGAAGAATTAATTACCTGCTTCTTTACATTACTCCAGGAAACATGAACAGATTAGAAGACAGATTCTAAGACTAGAACAGCAGTAGTCTGAGAATGAAATTCCAAAACAATACTGTATTTCATTGACCAAAATTCCACTAATAATCCTTGTATGACACTAAAACTCATTCTTCCTTAAAACAAAACACATACCATAATACAATTCACAGCTAAAATATCCCTCTACCTCATATTTTACCTGCATAATCTTGTAATAGTATTCAGAAAATATTACCAAACTAATGAGGTACTAAAATCTGGTTTCAAAGTTTCCTTTTATTTTAAAGAGATGAGCTAAACGTCTCTGTATTAGAAATACCTCTAATGGTTTTGCCCTAAGAAAACAGAGATGAACTATATTGTACTCAATTTTAAGTGATTTTTAAAAATACATAATAAAAAGTGTTGGAGAGCTACAACAGCTAACCAACACTTTCTCAATGCATTTTAAAAAGGCACCAATAAACAGAAATTTTGTAAGTATTTAATACATTAAATTCAGGATCTTAAGAGACCAGTTACTGTATATTTTAATTATTTTGCAGAAACTGGAGATTCAAAAACATTTCTAAGATAGCTTTTCTATGTACAAACTTCAGTTTCATTCCCTTTTCTTTTTCTTTTGCATTTGGGGAGTCTTCTGTTTCAGAATTATCTTCATACACATAGTGCTTTACTAGAATAAAATATAAACTATAAAAGATGAGCACAAATATAACATCCCTTTTTGTAAAGTGAGAAATTCAAAGTTAAAAAAAAAGTAATACAGCCAGTACCTTTTATGATCTAGGTTTTGTCTTGAAACTAGAGGAATACAGTTTTTTGTTTGTACTTTTGCTGCCTTTCCTGTTCTTTCTCTACCTTAAGGAATCATTCTGGAGACAGAATGAAGTAACATTCAGAAAATAAATAAAACATAATTTTCATTTAAATGCCTCCACTGATATAGATTTTATCAAACACTTATCAAATATCATAAAGACTTCATGGTTTTGTGGTTTGCATAACTGGGACAAAAAAAACTGTAAATAAAAACGGTATCAGACTCACTTAAAATATTCTTGTCTTTCTCCATTTGCCAACAGGTGATCATTCGCTTTCTGTATCTTCTTATTCAAAACTAATTTGTGTTTTTTTTCACTTTGGAGGTTATGTAAAATCAGCTTAAAATCTTTTTTTTTTTTGGATTGACTTTTTTTATTTGTTCTGGAAGTAAACAGTAAAGACCCCAGATTTAAGTCTATTAGTCGCCACTAGTCCTGAAGATACACCAGTAACTAAAAATATTTCCTAATACAGTCTGGTAAAGTAAACCTGCTAAATTTCTCAGGAATTAACTGCAATTTTAACTCTCTTTCCCTTTGTTTTTACAACACATCTGATCACTCTAATTGCTTTTCATGAATTTTGTTTGAAAGAATGTGTGTGTACACACAAATACACACTATGATGCATACATACTTGTATGTATGTAGAGAGACATCCCCTACCTTGTAGCCAGACCTAAATCTCTTACTCTCCCATTTTGTCCCTCCAGAAAGTTCTCAACACTGGAATGTTTTGACAGCTCAAAATCTCTTCCAATCTGCTTATTGGTAACTTTTATTGTTTTTAAAAGCCAGATTACAATGGCTCTTTAAAAGTGATTGACCACTATTAGAGAGAGGCAGCACACTTCTCCAACAGGAACTGGCAATAAAATTCTGGGCAAAATTAGGGCGGAGCAATGTGATACATTTCTGAATCTTTGCCAAACTGGAAAATACAGAGGCTAACCCATTTTCAAGCTCCTCAAAAAAAGTGTAATGTAAAATCTCACCTAAATAAACCGGGAATATAACTGTTGTGTAAAACTTGATTTATTTGGTGTCTGACCCCCCTACTTATTTTTAGGTGTTACCACTTTGCATATTTCCTTTTGTGAATTAGAGCCAGCCAGCAAGAGCTTCCCAGAAAGCACTGTGTCCATAAAAATTCTTTCTAACCTACACGTTTGAATTGACCTTGTCCTCATTTGTCCCTGCGATACCCTGAGCCACTGTTACCTCTTTCTGATCCTCACGTCATGAAGCTAAGAAAGTACAAGTATACGCTGGTAACAAATACACTCTCACAAATAGTCCCTTTAATAAAATAGATTCCCCAGAAGATGAAATCAGAAAAGGAGAGTGCATTAGTACTGTCTCATAGGAGTAGTATACAACTAACTCTTCAGGTCTACCTAAATTCAGTTTCATCCAAGGGCAGGTAGGTACATGACTGCTCATACACTGAAAAAAAAAAACCCACAACATAGTAGGCAGGAAGAAGATTCATAGGTGGCGCCAGTAAAAATTCACACGCAGCCAAAGTTATGAACATGTTGACTGCCATCCAAATGTTTCCTTAAATTGAAGTAAAACACAAAATCACCAACCTTAAATTATCCCCTTCCAAAAGGCAAAACAAACACAATTTCATTTATGTGTGGTTAGAGTGGGTGGGGTAAGGGAGTCTCAAAGACATGCTTCACCTTAAATAAACTGTACATTTGTAATGTACCAAAGCATGCAGGAAAAAAAAATGAGAGTTGACATTCTATTTAAAACATTTCACATCTCTGTTTTGGTGCATTCTCTTAGATTTAAGGGAATTGTTTGGATTCCCTTAGGAGAGAACTGAGTTGTAACCATTTTTGCTTAGCTCTAGCTGAGTTCATGCTTAGAAGTTGTTTAAATAAGCAGATGGTAAGCAAGAAAATGACTGAAGAGCAGTGTTAGGGCCAGACTTGCTTATCTATCCACAGACCTCTGTGGTTTTGCGATTTCTCATAATATTTGTATTAAGAAACATAGTTTCAGTATCCTATTTAATGATTTTTTTAGAGTAGTTATCAGTTACTACTTAACAGAACTTCAGTATTCATAAATGGTTATTGATAAGCCAGTCATGTTCAGGCCTGTCCTTCCTAAACAAATCAGCAAGTTTTGCCTCCCAAGAGTGTCCCCCAAAGTGACTTTAATCAGTCTCACTTGGTTCCTTCCCTCCAATGCTGTTGGATTGCAAAGAAAACACAGAGCACCCACAATAATGAAATGAAAATCTGCACATGAAATATGGCAACATGGGATTGAGATTCACTTCTGATAAGTACAGGACATAGTCACTTTCACTTGGAGGTTCAGTCACATTCTAGACTCCAAGAAGGGTAAAAATAAGTTCTGTTTTTCATTTCATCTGTAGTTCAATGTATAGGTTACAAAGTTCCCCTTTTCTTGCACCAAAAGTGGGAAATATAATTATTGAACAAATACTAGAATAAATAGCCCTAGTTCCATAACCTATGGCATTCAAGTTACCACATTTCAGTCAAAATAGCAATTGCTCTAAGAAGATGTTGAAGAAAAGAGCCTACAGCAAGATTTTTAAGACCTTCCACTAGAAGAGCACAAGCAGAATGGACTATGGACGAACACTGGGTGGTCACAGCTTGAAAAAAAGTCGTGAAAAGAGAAATACCAGAAAAGAGATTTCTGAGTAGATTTTTTCCCCCTACTGTTAGCCTAATTATATTTTTCTGCTGACTTGTTAACACTGATTAAATGTTGTTAAAGTGACAATCACAAGCATACTTTTAAAAACAAATACATATACTATGCTGCCATCACCTTACAACTTTTAAAGGAAAACTTCCCAAACAAATTTATGAAAAGTAGAGGTCCCTTCTGGAAACTATTGACTTAGCCATTCTTAGACCATATGTTATTCTGAAAACTACATAAAAACACTATTAGTTAAAGGTGTTAAAAGTAAGGCTGCCAGGGTGTCTATAAAATGCCAGTCATCAAAACTATGGAAAAACAGTGCTTAAGTTTAGAAAAATAAGATCATAGGACCTCGGATGTACTGTAGGTATCCTTAACTACCTGTAGTTTAAAAGTTTTACTATGTGGTACAGTGTGTAACATACTGTATTATAAATTCCATAGGGGAAGTAAACATACAATAATAACTCATCCAAGGAGTTATCACTGAAAATAACAATGCGTTTGTGTTCCATGATCTCTAGAGGGAAAAATAAGTTTACATTTTGAAACATTCTTCTTTAAAGAGTAAAATTGCTTGTACCATTTTCAACTGCACAAATCCTACCTGGAAAATTCTCAACATTCCTGCCTTCAAATCATATTCCCGAACATCAGTGGCAAATTAGAATCTCTTAGGTGAACCTATATGAATCAAGTGATTTTTTTTTCCAAAGCATAATATGCCTTATATCAATGCATGGCAGAAATGAACTGCTCTTAAATTCCCACAAAATATAAACTAGCCAAGTTATCAAGAAAGAATATCCCCTGTCCCTTCTCTCTTCTGCTTCTTTCATATTGTTATTAGGCAGAGCAAATGACACTGCATCCACAAAGTAAGGATTAGTGACAGTAATAATATTAAAAAAAAAGGTATGTTAACATGTGAGGGAAGGTGGGACTGTAAGTGCAGTATTTCTTCATGTGCAGTTCATTACTTCATCGGGGTCCCCTTTGGAATGGAAAGGCCTAGTGGAATGTATGCTCCCCTCGAACAATGTGTGATGAAAACTCATAACGGTCCTGGCTTCTGTAGCCACAGATGTTGCATTCCAGTGGGTCCCGGTAGCCATGGCAGCCCATGTGAATGGTGTACATGACATGGTCTAGGAAAAGGACTCGGCAGTGCTCACACTTGAAGGCCCTAATCTGTTCTCCTTCTCCATTGAAGACCTTGTAGATGTCCTTCAGGGAGCCCTTGGGAGCTTTGGGGGTACCCAAAGATTTGACATCCTCCTTCATGTAAGCTGGGCTTTGTTTCCTCTTGGGGTTTAAGGCAGGGTTTCCTTGGTAGGACTGGTGGTCATCATGGCTGCTCTCTGAGTCAGTAGAATCCAAGCAGCTATTGCTGGGAGAAGCCTCTCTTTCCTGGGGTCGACTCTTTGGTCTGATGAGAGAGATAGGGCCATCCATGTTGTTTTCATGACTATCGGAGGTTTCCCTGCTAATGGGTCTTTCTATCCTATTTGGATGATAGACCTGAGAATAAGCTGAGCTTATAACTGGGGCCACCTCAGCGATTGTGCTTGGCGGGTGCTGCATCAGAGGGTGAAGGGCCTCAGCTCCAAGGTAGGTGATTGCATTGTTGATGGCTTGGTCCATCATATGAGACTGCATCAGCTCAGCCTCCTTCTCATATGTTAAGTTCATATCAAAGTGAATGTCTGGGTAGCTGAATCGCATGAGCTTTTCCCCTGAGAGGGTGGGGGGAGAGAAGCAAAAGGCAAAAAAAGCATGCAATAAAATTAGTGATGTATTAAAAATATCAAAGTGCAAAATTAACTGATCACCTCCATCTTCTATAATATGGTACATTTTATTCTTTAGACCAAGTGTTTGGGCTCTTTAATTCTGCTGGGATTCACAAATACATTGAACCTGTAAAGGGGATTAGTAATGCACATTTCACGAGCCATTTGCACTTGTTCTAATGCCATCATGAACATTCATCTAGCCTAAAAGGTATGATTGGGTGATCTTATTTTCATTCTCTATCAAAGTTTCCATAGAGCTCGGCCACTGTAAAACAAAGAAGAAATACAATGTGGAAATAAGTCAGAGACTATGGCTTGTTTTTGCATATTTTAACCATCAGTGACAATGCCACAAAGATCAGAAAATTGTGAGTGATCTGGTTACAAAATCTGTCACCTCACTTGTGACAGGCTTAATTTGTGTAAGGTTAATTTTATTGACTTAACTGCTATATTAAGAAAAGTTATAGAGCCAGTACTGTCATTCTGGAGGATTCAAAAAAAACACTATTGAAGTACTGTTAAAAGCTAGATTGTCTGGTATTTTGAGAGAAATTTAGAGTTATTTAGAGCTATTTCCAAAAAGTACTTATTATATTTTTATAAACTAGGAAAATATTGTGTTTGTTATTTTGCTTCTTGAAATGGTAACTGCTCACGTTTACATTACCTCCTCTTTATTCAGATATGTGCTGGTATGTACATCCATTGTTTAGTTTTCCATATTTTTTCTTGATTGAGGGCTATTTACAGTTTTCTTGTTAATATTTACTTCAACAAACTTAATTTTAACCATAGGAGTTTGTTATGTAAAACAGAAGAAATTTTATTTTTTTCTCCTACAATATTGCCAGCTTTGGAGAGAATATTTTCTTTCTAAAATTCTGCTGCTAACACATTGTGGTCTCCTCCTAATTACCTACTTACTTTGATAGGTAACTCTTAGAGACAAATGCATCTTAAATATACACATGGACTTCTTATAAATGTTAGCATGTTGCTGTAGATGGCTCTTTACTTGGGATGCCAACAGGAAATGTTGATCCACAGAACTGCATTCTGGAAAAGTGCTTTCAGGTAGATAGTTATTATTTCAGGTTTGAAGAAAGGTCCCCCAAATGAGATGAGAGTGATGATCAGAGTAATGAAAATAGAAGAAAAAATGATGAGACATTATCTTGTGGCATCCAATTTAAGACAAGGCAATGTGAAGAGTTTAAAAGTTAAACTTCAAAAAAAATTAGATCTATAACCAAAAAAAATTCAAAATTAAAAAAAATGTTAAGCTTTACAGTTTAGAGAGAGTAACAGCAATTTAGGGATCATTTATAATGCGATGTGATAAGTACTATGGGATCAAATAAAAGGCATACAAAATTCATTATGAGAGGAGTGAAAGACTTCTTGAAGGAAGGGGCATCGGAGATAAGAATGTGATGGCAAACATTTGCCAAGTAAAGGCACATGGGGGGTGGAGGAGTTGGTAGGAAGGCTGAGAGGGAAGAGGGCATGACTTGTTCAAGGGATTACTTATACTTCACTATGGCTGAGAGTAGAAATAGATGAGAGAGATGAAATCAGATAATACAGGGCTCATTCGACAGCTAAGAAATTAGAATTTTATCCTTAGGCAACAAGGGTTGAAAGGGTTAAACAGAGAAGTGACTTGACTAGAAATTTATTTAGCAAGACAGTTTAGGAAGTTGTTTCTGTAGCAATCATGGTGGCCTGAATTAGCACAGTAGTAGTGGAAATGGGGAAAATTCGACTGGATGGAGAGAAGTTTAGAAAATATGGTTGCTAGGGCTTGGTGATTCTCTACACATAAATAACAAGAAAGAGAAAGAAGTTAAGCATGAAGCCTGGGTTTCTGGTCTGGGAAACTTGGTAGATGGCAGTGAAAGAGAGAAGATGATTAATTCAGGATGGGGAAGATTATGAGTAATAGTTATGTCCAGTAAGTACTGAAAGATAGTCTCAAACTCAGGAGAGAGAGATCTGGACTTGAGATGTAGATATGAGAGTCATCAGTTGATAGAAATTAACTTTTGAAGCCACAGGAATAGATGGTATCACCCAGGCATAGGTAAAGCGTGAAGAAGAAAAAGTCATAAATAGAATTTGGGAGGACACAAAGACTGTTATGCCTGCTATTAGACCAGGGCAAGTAGGATTCCTGCGCTGGGCCTCATGATTAGAGAGTTTGGGCCTTGTTCCTCCTAGAATGAGGACTGGGTAGGGCTAAGGGAATATGCCTGTTTGGAGCTTACTCCCTAGACCACTCCGGGTGACCAAGACCCCAGAATTCCTTGCCAAATAGCTCTCAGCTTGCACCCAGAGTCGGCAATCCTCTTCAAAGGGCCCAACCTTCTGAATACCGGTTGTGCTGCTGGCATGTATACTCTTTATACACAATCTGAGGAATGACCAACACACTACCCTTTATGTGTTGTATGAGGGGCAAGTTCTTTTAACTTGGATCTACAGGAGGAAGAGTCCACACCTCTGTGCACGAGGCCTCTTCTGGTACTAGACCAGGAGTGGGTCAGGAGAGGAATGTGGCTGTAGGCCAGGGGTGGTTCTGCCCAGGCTGACAAGGTCTGGGGCAGAATGCCAAGGAATCTGATAATTCTGTATTTATTTGAACTCTTCCAAGTTAGGAGGGTTGAACAGAATAGCTTTCAGCTTGATTCTGGCTTCCATTAGTACCTTTGCCTCGGCTACGTAACTGTGAATGGTAAATCCCTAAAGAAAACTGAGAAGTAGCAGCCAGAGAAGCTGGAAGAAATGCAAGAGAGATCAGCGGCATAGAAACTAAAGAAAGAGTGTTTCAAAAGGAATGAACTACTCAGTAGTGGCGAACGCTCTGTAAGAGTTATGTAACCGTCTAGACAGGGTCCCCTGGACTTGGCACTCTGGAAGTTAGTGGTGACCTCAATGAGGGGAAAAAATAAGGGACAAAGCCAGGTCGCACAGACTGGAGAATGAGAGTAAGACAGCAAGAGCTGCAAGCACTGGCAGCTCCTCTGCAGCCCCGCCTCAGGGGACAAAGGGAAAGCAGGAGACTGGGTTTGAGGGAAGGTGTGTTTTGATGATGAGGGTTTTCCCATTCAATGCCAAAGGGAAAACACTACTAGATAGAAGAGAGGTGAAAATGTAAGTGGGGAAGAGGAAAATAACAGGGGAAGGTACATGGGGGGCTTGGACGGAAGAATTACACAACATGAGGAATTAACCATGACCAGAAAGAGGGATAGTTCTTTCACTGAAATGAGAAAAGAAGTATTCATGTGGATGCACATGATCTTACAGGGTTAGTAACATTATATTGAAATGATTTCAACTGATTTTATTCCCTGTGAGTCTAGATCCAGTATCATCAAGGAGTGAGATACTGTGCTTGCAGAGAGTAAAGAAAGAGCGAAATGGCCATAGGTTTGAGTACGAGAGAGTCTATTCAGGGATGGATTAAAGGTGGGATGCCACACTGCATGGATGGGACAACTGATAATGTGAAATCACTTATTCATTTATTTAGAGTGACACCAATTTGTGAGGCTGTAGATTTTCTCCAAAAATACTTGAAGCTATGTATATATATATATATGGAAAAGATGCTTAGTTGGCTTCACTAGAGGGAGGGGTTTCACCAGGAGAAGATAATGAAAGCACAGTAAAACAAGAGTCAAGAATATTGGCAAGAGTGATGAACCACAGTGTCTAAGCTAGATAAGGAAAGAAAGGAGGACACAAAAAGATATGCACAAAGTTCAGGGACCATTGACCTGGAGGGTTTGATGAGGTCAAAGAATAGTATTTACCTGAGGGACATAATAAAAAGGAATTTATGGTAAGTGTAGAATGATGAAATTTGTCTTGGAAGACATCATAGAGCCAGTTTCTGTGCAATTTGTTACATATCACTACCAGGATGGAATCCAAACAAAGAAAAAATACCATCAAATTCCTGATAAAAATATGTTACTTTTAAGTCAAACTATAATTTTAAAAAAACCTGTCCCTCTTTTCCAAGGAATGTTGGTCAAATTGGGAGTAGCACAGGGAACATGAAAATATTACAAAAAGTAGAACTAAATAAATTCAGAAGACAGAAAGAATAATAATGAATTTTTATTACACTATACTAGTATCTAGTTGAGATATAAGCATTTAATGGACAACCATTAAATTAATCAATGTTAAAAATAGATGAAATGGCATTAGAAAAAGGAAGTTATATATAAAAAGGAGGAAACAGAAATAGAAAGAAAAGTTACTTAAGGGCCCAGGGCAGGCCTTTGGCTTAAAAGTGACCTAGTATATACCGATCCCTCAGGGCTACTCTTTAGCTTTTTTTCAATGAGGTCTATCAATAAATCTCTCCAGTTTGTCTTAAAGTGATGTGTTGGTGATTTGTTAGTTCTTCAACTTTAGATTGAAAGGAAATCTTCTCTAAGCATTTACTGGAGTAACAGAATTTAGTACTCTTTCCTGCCTGAAATAACTAAGGAGAAGATTCTCTCCCAGGCACCAGTCAATTCACATCAGGGTGTCCACAATGCTCTGTAACACTGGAATGTGAGAGTCTGCTTGAATATTTTTATCTAATTTTTATTACCCTGTTTAAAGTATAAAAATGGATATATTACATATATAATTAATGACAATCCTTTATGCAGAATTTCTATTTTTCACACATTTTAGAAAATGTAGATAGATGCTTTTTGCATCCTCAGGGATACTTAGTAAGTTACACTATGCAGAATGATGCCGACTCTGAGTGTAACAAAGAATACCTAAGAGCTTGGAAGTGAAAAAGGAAATTCTAAATACATCATATTTAATCTTTTCAATTCAAAATCATAGGCTGGATGAAAACAACGATCAAAATATAGATCCAAATTTGAGACATCTTCAAGGTACTTGGCGGCATGATTTTTCCAGTGCAGAATTTTAGAAAAAAGAATAAAAGAACTTTTCTTCATTGTAGATCAACTAGTAAAAGGATTAATGTCATGAAAGAAAACAGTTTAAAAACCTGGCACTAATGCAAACTTAAAAACAGATTATAAAATTTGCTTATAGGCTACACCATTTCCCTTAATTAGAAGTATTTTCTAAAATAAATGAATGTTTTTTTACATGCTATTTCACTTTATATATCATTTCATTTTGAGATGGGAACTTACTTTCAAAACCTTTCTTTTATTGCTCTTCCATAGGCCCATATGCCTGTGTGTGTGTATATAAGTGTGTATATATGCAATGGCATAAAGTAGAGAACAATAATGGAGAAAAAGGATGGGTATTTTTTTCATGAAATAAAATACACCATATATATTTCTAATACATAGAAACATGCCTTTGCCCACAAACCATCTTTTAAGGAAATAAAATCATTTGAAATGCTTACCCACAAACTTTTGTGGAGTGGAGCTTTTACGTTTTCCCATATTCCCCGTGAGCTTCTCTATAACAGCAGGTCTCTCAAAAGGCACCAGAGAAATATTGTTGTCCATAATAGGCTCTTGTTCCTTACAATCTTCCATAGGAGGTACTATGTAAAACCATACAAAATATGCAATCTGGTAACTTCTTCATTTTAAAAGATAACAAGGCTGGATTTGTCACCTCAGTATGTATTATACAGACATAAGCTAGTATGCTTGAATAAAAGCATATTGAAAGAATAACTCCAGTACTAAAATACACTAATTTCACTCACACACACACACACAAAGGATTTTGTTTTTATCCGAGTCGCTCTCAGATCAATGACATAAACTGTTGCCACGATTCGTGGCAAACATGTTCATCTTGTTTCTCATCTTATTCCTCTGAAAGTGTTTTTTAACATTGATTAAAATCAATACTAGTTTAAGACTGCATTATTCTCAAGGTTTTGGAGTTTATTTTTCTGAAACTATTTCAGCACGTCAACTTGTTTTGGAGGGAAGCTTACACAGATACACAGAAAAACAGCACAAACTTCACCTCTTTTTTCACCCATGCATTTTCCTGTAGCAGATTTTCTATTTGAGGAGCTGAGGGAGCTGTTAGTCCTCTTGCAGGACCTAAACACCTGCATAAAGCAGCCCTCGTGAAGGACTGATGCCGACCGAGTATGTCTATGCGTAGTGAACTGTGGCAGCTTTCTGATTGTGATTTATTTTAAAAAGAGCTCTTCAGCAAAATAATCTGTTTATCTGTTTCCAAACTGGCATATTTGCTTACTAAACGACTACTCTAATTCATCTGATAGAAATTCTCTAATGCTGCTCCTTCTTTATCCCACTTGTCTAAGTTGCTATGGACTAATATATTAGCTTATAGATACTGACATTAGATATTGACATTCCAAGGGTAGACAAGGACTTATAAAAGCTGTTTTGAAATAAAAATACTGTCAAAGGATGTTTAAGGATAGAGTAACATCTGAGACAGATGAAATTGGTTGACTGAAACCAATGTTCACAGGAAAGACCATACTTATCACTTCTTAATTATTGCTGCTTTCTCCAACTGCACCTGTGTTTGGAAGCCTAAAGTTTTCATACCTTAAGATAGCTGTACTTGTTCAGCATGTACTGTGAAATGATCTATTCTGCTTTTTTTTTGTTTGTAAAGGATAGTTCCACTGTGTGAGACAGAACGCATCCCTATTTATAAGAGTAGACACTAAAATAATGTGAGAAAGCAAAAGATGAAAGTTCAGAAAATGCAGTGCACAATTCATTTAATAACCAATATAGGTTGCTGATTTTGAAAAAATGAAATATGGCATCAAAAATATGTCTTCTTAATTTAGACATCTTTAAAGAAATCACTATTCGGCCTAAGGTATGAGTTAACCTAATGTAGTCTAGTGGATGGGCCAGAAAAATGTATTCTTCAGTCTCTACGTTATAAGAGACCCTCTGGCTATGACTGGCAAGGGATTCTGCAATCACTGAATGTTAATTTGTAAGAAAATTCCAATATGAGAGTCAGAAACAAGGAAACAAGGTTATTTTCCATACTGATGTAATTTATGACATTGTCAAGGTGAAAAAGTATGCCCCAAGATGTTACATAAAACATTGTTCTCTTTTAGCAACAATTAAAATTTAAAACAACAACAACAAAAAACAGCAAGAAAAGCAAAGGATGACCACAGAATTCCAACAAGGTTGGCAGAGGGGACAGGAGAATGGAACAGCAGTGGTGATGTGGCAGGGAACAATGTAATTAGATATAAATTATTGTCAAAATATCTTAACTTTTGTTTTGGATGGTAGATTCACAGGCACTTATTACATTATTAAAAATAACTATTTAACTAAAAATCAGGCCATGCGTGAACGGACCAAAGATGAAAATATGTCATGGACCAAGATCCAAAATGAAAGAAGGAAAGAAAAAAGTTTGTTGTTATAAATTTTGCTAAAAAACAGCAAAATTGGTTAAAAGGGTTTGCCCCAAATTGAATATACTAAGTAGTTTTGAAATGAGTAGTCTAAAACTTGGCAGTTTTGCTCTAAGTCTCACCTTGAATTTTCATATTTGCACACATTTAACACTCAAAACGAAACCTGGGTGTGGGAACCGTCCCACACCACATCCACCTCAATTCAGATGATTTGTCCCAAGTTCAATGAAACTCATGTGAACTGAAAACAATGACTTCGGCAGAGCTCCGGTCTAACTTCTACTTTACAACAGCCCTTTACCTATCAAATATTGATCTTGTTTCTACCATACTGGCAATAACAACAATTGATGAATACTATGTGCTAAGTACCATTTTAAGGGTTTACATTTAATAGAACATTTAATCTTTTCAACAACCTGAGATGGGTACAACTACCACTTGTATTTTATAGATGGGGAAACAAAGACCCAGAGATACCTTAGGGTTAACATCTAGTTAGTGGGGTATATATGAGTTTAATCTAAGTGGTCTGGCTCAGAGCCCAGGCTCTTAGCCACTATGCTATTCTTTATAGACATAATTTGAGTGTTGACTTTTTATTAACAAGTTTGAGAAATGTTTAAGGTCTGCGATTAGGAAAAGATCTGATATATTTTCTCAATTGCATAACTAATCTGAATTTTTTACTTTCCTGGATCTGGTTGCAAGTCATCAAGATGTTTCTGGATATATACTACTTGAAACACGAATCAAAGGTGCATTGATTACATTGTAATTAGAGACATTTATCTAGGTTAAGAAAACACCAATATGGTGACCTCACTTGTTAGAGCAAACTTCATGACCAAATATCTTACTTGACCTTACTTTTGAAATTATAACTGGGATAAAAAATATATTCATACTTTTATTATTTCATTATCTCATTGATAAATTTTAAAAACAGAACTATCTATCTGTTCCTAACATAGCTATTTTTACCAAGAAACTACTCAAAATTTTTACCAAGAAACTACTCAAATTATAAGAAGACACAGTCTGAGGGGTCCTCAGTAGGTCACATGCCCACCCCTTGGGCCAGGAGAAGGCAGGGGACCTAGTCTGACAGTCCTGCTGTGGCTTCACACAATGGGAGACAGTTTTCTAAAGGAAAATGGAAGTCTAGCTATAAAAAGAAGGAGGAAGGTATGTTAGGCAGAGAAAACAACAGAGGTCTTTCGCTTTGTCACAAATTTTCTCATGTTGCCGAATCAAAAATAAACTTCAGTTTCATATTTTCTTGATAACATTGGACAGTGCCAATACTTGCACTGGCTTCTGTGAAATCACTCTTTCCATTTCCCCCTCTCTGCTCTGACTCATCTTCATGGCTCTTTTTGTCCTTTCCTGGTGTGTTCTGATCTACAGATATCTCATTCCATACTTAACCCGTTATCAACTTAGAAAACCAGTTACTTCAGGCTACTTCCTAAATAATAATGGCCCGTACATCTTTATTTCCTACCCAGACCTCTCTATAAAGAGCTGAAGATCTATATATTAAATTTCCTTTTAGACCATTTCACTCGTTTCTCTCTCACTGGTACCTGAAAGATCCGTTCAAAACCTGAAATCTTCACTTCATGCCCCAAACTTTCTCCTGCTTTCCTAACTTCCATTTCAGTGAATGGTACTGCTATCTAGCTGGTCATCCATGCTAGATACCTGCGGCAAATCCAAGATTTCTTCCTTTCACCCAGTTTCCTGTCCCCCACACTCCTACCTTATCCCTTCCCTCCCCTTATATACACACATGATGGTACCAAGTGTTTTAGATTCCACACCTACAGTTGCTCTCAGTTTCTACTCAACCAATCGGGTGGACATTGCAATGGTCTACCTGCCTCTATCTCGACTCTTCTATCTCCTACATTTCTAGCAATAAAGTCTTTATGTACTAAGGTTCTTTTTAAGATAAAGTACACAGTTCTTTGCTTAGCACCAGAGGCCCTTCACGCTCTATTTACAGGCTATTTCTTCTCTAGCCTTAGCACCTTCCACCCTTCCTTGCCTTTACAAACTGGGCTCCAGTTGCACACAGATACTGGTAGGTCCTCACCTCACTATGCTCTTTTAGACTTCTATTTCTTCATACACTTTGCTTTCTGCATGAAAACACCTTTCTCCACTTATTTAACTGGCTCTATTGCCTTTCAAAACTCTCCTCCAACGTAACTTCCCCTAGAAACTCCTCCTGCACACCCATTCTGATTTAGATATTTATATGCCCATAACACTGGTCATAAAGTGCTCTGTTGGTTGATTGGTTTATTTCTTCCAGTGTTGGTAAGCAACCTTAGGATAAGTGCTGCATTTTATTTGAATTGTGTTTCTAGTACCTCATGCTGTGAGACAAATTAAAATTCAATGGATGTTTACCAAATTACTGAAGGAAATAATATTACCCAATGGAAATACGTAGAAGAAGCTTACTAGAAAAATTACAGATTCTCAGTTATGTCTCTGCACCTGAAGTGAAGAACTTCCCTTTCCCAAATAATGCAAGAATATATATTCTTGCTCTAAAGTTAGCCATCTTTCTGGTTCATGTTTTCATTTTGTCTTCACTCAAGGGGGAAAAAAATTAATTGCATACTTTAGCTTTTAAAGCTTTGTCTTCAAGCTGAACAGACTTGAAAAGTAAACAGAAAGATAACTTTCAAATAAGATAAGTAATGACTCTATAGCATCTTACTATGTTGATAGTGACTGCAGTGGGGTGGGGGGGACTTGATAATATGGGTGAATGTTGAAACCACAATGTTGCTATGTGAAACCTTCATAAGATTGTATATGATCCCTTAATTAAAAATAAAATGAAACTAAAAAAAGAAAACTTTCAAATAAAATCATCTGTCATAAAACCCAATTCATTATTAGTGTTATTTCCAAAACTACAAGTCATGAAATTCTTTCCTTCCCTCAAACTCAAAAACTTTTTTCCTACCTCCTAAATATGTCTTCAGTGTTTCCCCCTGTTGTCATCTCCTGTTACTGGCTTTTTATCTTTTCTTTGGCATTCTCACTTCCAGTCTCTCCTTGCACCCCAGCTAGACATCTCTCCTACATTCTACATTGCTGAAAATTTTCTATACAAGACACAGAATGGATTACCCCAGTGGAATTCCAACATTGGATTCGCGTACAAGGCTCTACCTCTGCATTACAACCCACTATTTCAGTCTCATCTGCTTCCTCTCCTTTAACTCTGACTATGTTCAATGTCTTGGAGCCCGTTAATGATCTTTTATACCTCCAAGGCTTTTCTGCCTGCAATGTAGATTCTATGTGAATCTGTCAAATCTGTGCAATTTTTCTCATCCTCATATTTGCTTCACTGTATTTATCTTTTTTAAAAGCATGTTCATTTATCTTTATATCCCCAGAATATTCTGTAGAATTTGGCACATAGCAAACCCCAATAAATGTTTCTTGAATGAAGTGAAAAAAAAGTGCCTCATTGACTTCAGACACCTCTTCATTAGAAAAGCCAATAAGGGGAAGAATGTGTTTTGGGGAAGAGGGACTAAAAAAATATAACTATGCCAGATACCAAAAAAATTAATTTCAAGGAGCTAAATGCAACCACAATGATGGCAACTCCCACACCTACCATTAAAAGACAAAAAAGAGACAAGCTATAACAGGATAGTAAGACAGGGAAGGGGAAAATATGAATTTCATTGTGACTATGTTTCAAAGAAGACACACTAAGCTATGTTGATGAGACAGAGTTAATGATGAACTCTCGTAGCATTTTACCCATATTTTTCTCTTTTATGGCATTTATCAATTCCTACTTCATACAGTCAATTTCCCATTAAACATGTTAACAAAAGGAAAAGGAGATAAAAGGATTATCTCAAATGTTATTACAATGCACCTAGAAAAAGTACAGCATGAATTGATATTAATATACATTTATGTGGTTAGAACTATATCCAATATTGGAAAACAAATATTTGGGTCTAGTCTCTAAATGATATCAAAACACCTGCTCCCCCCGCCACTCCTCCTTGTCTTTGCCCTCTACTGTACCAAGTATCTGAGTGCCTTTCCCATTTTGCCCCCTGTATTCCAGTTTCAAAGCCATCTATAAAGAATCTTTGCCTGTAAAGGGCTAAACACTTTGGGAAATGGGGGTCAATGCTGAGACTACACTTGTTTGAAAGTATTTCCCTCCAAAATATACTGGCTTAAATTTTTTATCAACATTTCTGCTGTAACTGGTTAATCTTCCAACACATAGTTAAATGTTGACCGTATTTATTTATGTACACTTTACCTTTTTATAACAATATATATCAAGTCTTTTCGGAAAAACTCTATTTCTTATTCAGCTAAGTATACAACATAGGGTTTCATACATCATTGTGAATGGAAAAATGAATTAATAGAATTCACTCAGTCAAACATTAAAACTGCAAAGAGAGAACAATACATGGAAAAACTAGTAGTAGTGCCATAAGGTGTCTCTCGAAAGCTTTAGCATGTCTCCAAGTCTCTATCAACGACCCTGCCTCAAGCTACCTCTAAAACACACAATTTAAACAGAAACAGTGTACTTAGCAGACAAATGAAACCTCAAATGCCTAAGTTAATGCTGGTAGGCAATGTAACTTTATAAGGGATGCAACATTTACTATTTTTTAATATTTAACACCCTGAAATGTAATAGTAAAAATAACTCTTTATTGGGTATTTATTGTACATCAAATCACATTTAATCTCACATGAAGCTTATGAATGACTTCCTAGTAGATACTATATTGCCAGACCACGTTTACTGGACTCCTAGCCTCACCATTTTAACTTCCATGCTCTGGATCCTATGCTACCCTCGTAAGCCCAGGTGATGCATGCTTGCAATATCAAATTTACTAAGACTTAAAACACAGACAGGCTTTTAAAAGTCTGTTAATAATGAAAATATAAAAATAAAGGGACTCACAATGAATAGAACCAAATCTGATTCTTTAGATTATACAAACTGTCTTCACGATGACTATTCAGGATGACAACACAAAAACTTTAAAAAATTCTCAATTCAACAACAAATAATTATTAGCTGTTCAATAAACACAATTCCACAATCCGTATTATGTAAAAAAAAGAAAAAAATCCCCACATGTAGTTCTTAAGCTGTAAGTTACTAAATATTTATATTTTTATAGCATTCCCCAATTATACTATTTAATATTAGCCAAATCTTTTTAAAATAAAAGATATAAATGTATCAATGAGTTAAGGTTTTTGTACGCACTTGTATGAATAATAAAATAAATGAGTAAAAATATAATTGGTAGGATGAGACAGATGCTCCAAACTCATAACTTTCTTCAGTAAGGCTGACTTACTAACACTAATTTTTCAGTAACAGATACCAACTGGTAAACCTTAGGGAACGCCTTCTGACCGCTACTGCTTATTGCACAGATAAGGATGTTATGCATGGTTTTGATTTTTGTGCAGGAAAGTGGTGCCTAATTTTAGTCTAGATTATTCCCCGCACTTGTAGAAAGCAAAGTCAGTAATTTCTAAGAGAAATCACAAGACAATACAACAATATAATTTTTGTTGGAGACTGGAGAAATTTATAGTTACATCACTTATCACTTATTTAAGAGACATGAAAGTACACAAATAATCAATTATTTTAGGAAACCTGCATGCTTATGTGAAACCATCTCTCTTCAGTGCAGTCAATGAAAGAGAAAAATACTATCTTCCTTTAATTTATTCTGGGTTGGCTGCCATTATCATGCTAATTCAACCATTATCAGAATGTTATCAGAAATAATTTTGGGGTATCACAAAAACTCCACATAGCTTGTTTGCAAAGTGCCCCAAAGCTCAACTCATTTCAAGTGCTTAAGAAGATAACTGCATACAAAGTTAATGTGATCTAAAATTGTTTTAAGCAGAGTAGGATTTTATTTTCAGGCTGAAGGGTAGAGAAAACTGCTTAACCCATAAAAAACTACACAAGCAGTAAAAGGGGGGGAATGAAAATTGTGAATGCCGTTTCTACCCACCATGGTGACTCATGACCTGCCCGGCAGCCTCCATGCTGACATTCTGGAGATAGTTGTGGCAGCGTTCCTTGTGCTCCTCCAGTGAACTGCGCTGCTTGTAGCTTCGTCCACAGTAGTTGCACTTGTGAGGTTTACCCACTGTGAAGAGAGCTCAAGATTAGTGTGCTGCCAGTCTTGTCCAAGGCAAAAATTAACAGCTAACTTTTGATAGTCTGGAGGAAGCATTTTTATGCTTTTCAGACTTAAATCTCTTCCTCCTCCACACTCTGATTTAGGCAAGAAAAGATAACAAATTTCTAGCAAGACTAAAAGACAGCAAGAAGACAAGGCAGATGGTACCTTTGGCATAAGGGGAAACAGTGAATCAGTTCATGCTCTGACTGTATCCTAGATAATGAGGGCATGATGATCAATTTTCAAATGATCGGGCTCTTAACACTAACATTTACTCTTACACAATTCTCCCAGCTTTGACTCAGTCAAAAGACAAATCAGGAGTGTCCTAGATACATGGTGAAAATTATTTTTTATTTATTTGCCAGGGCTAAAGATAGATAATTTTACTGAAAAAAACACTAAAATCCAACAACTCAAAATGCCATTGTTTAATGCAAAGATTATTTATGGTCACCAAGACAAAAAGAATTCAAGTGATGAGAAAAAGTACAGATAAAAGCAGAGTTTCCCTTTTCTTTCCACCTTGGTAGTAACTTCACACATGCAAAACTGCAGCAGGTAAGTGCATTCTCCTACATCAGCACTGTTCCTACATTACCGAGAATTAACTTACTAGGTGCTTTGCGTCAGGATTAACAATAACCACTGAAGCCCACAGTACATTTAGTTATATAATGATAGTGATATTTTCAATATACTTCACATTCAGAAAATGAATTACTTCCTAATAGCCTGAGAACTATATGTCAACTGCATCTCAGTAAACCTGGTAAAATATGGTGATGCTCACATAAAAGCAAATTAAAAAATTGATTAAGAAGAAGAAAAACACATTTATGGAAAGATATATGTTTTAATGTATGGCTACTCACAAGGATATCCCAGAGCACTTCGATTCTTGGTTTTGAATGGATACTGAAAAGCATAAAACACCAGGTGGTCTGTGCCAAAACCCTCAGTCGTAAAGCACGGTGTGAATCAGGTCAGTGGCTCTCATTCGACTCCCACAGAAATCATTCTGTTTTGTCCAGAGGACAAACAGACAGCTTTTTTTTCATGGTCAAAGACAGCATCCCTAACTCCAGTCACCTTACAAACCCATGCTATGACTCTGGTCATACACAGAGCCGAAATACTGTGACAAAGGCAAGAGCAATATTTCACTGCACTGATTTTTAAAAAAAATAAGCTTGTACATTATATTAGAGATGCACATAAAGTAAAATCAGTTATTTCATCACAATTTTTTTGTAAGCCGTCTTAAGAAAACAAAAGTACCATAGGCGGGATTAGTCATTTCTAAAAATACTAGACAAGTAACTTTGATTTTTCAGAACCAAGAATTTCTGGGAAGTAGAGACCAGATAGCTCTATAGATTGTGAAGAATCTGTATCACTCTGTGAAACATTAAACAATGCAAGAAAATACTTTTATTCAAAACATTTGGTGTAAATAATAAAAATATCTTCAGATGCAATTATATTTCAAGCCACGGAACTACCTATTATAAAAAGCCTCAGTTCCAGTTCTTCAGTGCTGTTTCTCTACAAATAAATGATGAATTTGCACTGAACAAGTCTATTAACCTATTAGCACTAAGCACAGACACTGTAGTTAATAACCCACTATAAACCAGTTCCATCTCTGTCTACCCCTTTGTAAGTTCTATTGCATTGCGTCCTATGATACCTATGTGTTACTGTGAAAATATTATCCAATACCTTCTTCCTCTTATTTATATAAGGAAATGTGATATCTTCTCAACTTAATTAAAACATAGCTCCCTTCCACTCCCCTTGGCTCATGACCCTCTAAAGAGTTCCAACTCAATTGACAAGGAGGAAAGGATAGTATGCACTTTACTACTTTCAAAACTCATCTTCTTACAACCCTCATTTTTGAAGTTTACCAAGTCTGCTTTATTTCAGCTTCTCCCATTTTGTCATAGTTTAAAACATCACTTTCCTCTTCATCCAAATTTGAGTAAATTGTTCTAAAAGTAGATAAACTCAACTTCCCCAAATATTTTATTTATTTATTTATTTATTTTATTTATTTTTATTGATTTTTATTTTGGTATCATTAATCTACAGTTACATGAAGGACATTATGTTTACTAGGCTCCCCCCTTCAGCAAGTCCCCCCCACATCCTTGTTCACAGTCATTGTCCATCAACATAGTAAGATGCTGTAGAATCACTACTTGTCTTCTCTGTGTTGCACAGCCCTCCCCGTGCCCCACCCCCAACACTATACATGCTAATCGTAATGCCCCCTTTCTTTTCTTCCTGCCCTTATCCCTCCCTTCCCACCCGTCCTCCCCAGTCCCTTTCCCTTTGGTAACTATTAGTCCATTCTTGGGTTCTGTGCTTCTGCTGCTGTTTTGTTCCTTCTCAACTTCCCCAAATCTTTACCTATACTCCAATCAGATAATGCTCCACCTTATCTTTCTACCTCTTTCATTTAGTATGTATTTGTTAAAAGCCTACTATGTACCAACATTGTGATGAGGCTGAAATGCAAAATAGAGAACAAATTTTCAGGTGCTTATCCTCACATAACTGACAGTCTGGTGAAGAAAAAAGATATTTAATAAATATAAAAACAGCATATTAAAATTGTGGTAGCTAAAGAATTGTATGCTACTATAACATGGGAACCTAGTTTAGTTCAAGAAGGTTGAACAGGAAGGTCTGCCTGAGGTAGGAATATTTATTAGACTGATAATGAAAGAAAAGTAGAAGTTAGGTAAAGGGGTAAGGTAGAGGAAAGGCAGTATTTCAGGATTTCCCAGAACTGCTGCCATCTATTTGCTCTCACATATTTAGCAACTTTAAAGTTGAGATCATGTCCTTACCACTCTTTTGAAAATTATTTCCAAATATCACCAACAATTCTTGCCAAATCCAATGGCTTTACTATCTCTACAAGACCATTTCCTGTCAGTTCTTTGATATTTCTTAAAAATGAAGTTCATGATATTATTACATACATTAATTCTCTACATAGGATGAGCTTATCTGTATAATACTTAAAAACTATGAGTTAATATGTATAACATATATATTCATAGAAGAAGACCAGTATTTTGCTTTTATTTTTATAAATATTTTTACATGTTCTCACCATTGGAAACATTTTCATTCTGATATTACTGAAATGTTTGTAAAAAGTCATCAATAGCTTCTGAATCACTGAATCTAGTAGATTTTAATCAATCCTGAATCTTCATAATTTCTTGATCACTATCAAACTTTCATCTGTCTAAAATTTCTTGTGTTAAGCTTCTGGGATGTTTTCGTGTTCCCCCTTCACTGGCTTCTCAGCCTCTTCCTACCTGGCAAGTATACATGAAGCTTCTTATTTTGTTCTCAGTACACTAGTCTCCCTGTTTTTCCTCAAGATTAAATCCTCATTTCTATGACGTGTCCAAATTATGCCTAGAATAATTTCCTATGTTTGTAAGCTGCTACTTGTCATTTAAACCTTTTAAAAATGCTCTTTGTGAACCCAAAGACATAGTTTTCTACTCTATGCCCATGTTGTACTCTGCCCATACTCTGTTGATATGTTACTTATGATAATGGCATCGTAATTATGCATTTGATAACCTCCCTAGACCAAACACTGAGTTCTGTCATAAGGACAGATGTCATGTTTTACTCAATTTTGAATTGACAGTGGTTATGGTAGTTATTAAAAGACAGGAGATATTCAATATGTACTTGCTAAGTGACTGCACTTCAAACCTCCAAATGCCTTTTAAGTATTGCCTCATACATATTCCTCTGAAACCTAAAATTCAGCATATCCAAATTATATTCCTCCACAAAACTACTGCTTTGACTGTTCTTTGGTGTTCATGTTACCACTGATTAATAATCCGGTCTCACAACAAGGCAGCCATTTTTGTTGCTATCTTTCTCTTTTCTCACATCCAAATAATTACTATATTATATATACTTAATTCCTTCAATGTTTTTCATGTGTATTCCTCCTTCTCATTCTTACAAGCAATATCATAGCTCAATTCATCATCATTACTAGCCTGAGCTAGTATAACAGACTTCAAAACAGGTGTTCTTTCCCTTCTGTAATTATTTTACTCTCCTCTTCAACAACCTTCAATGACTCTCAGCTTCCACTGAACAAAGCCCAAATCCCTTTACCCAGTCTTCAGCATCCTATGCCTGGTCCCAAAGCATACATCCCATCTTCTACCCCAGGATCCAGCCAAAATCACCTTGCACTTCGATACTTCTGAGTCTTGATTCTTTCTGAAATGGCTTCACACAATATCTGCCTCTTGAAATCCTACTTATCCTTCCTTACCTCCCTAAACATGTTCTATCTGAAAGGGATCTTTCCCACTAACAACCTTATCTGTATTGGCCCTCACACTTAGAAAACAAGATGTTCTATCTTGAATTTGTGGTTATTTATACATTCATTTTGACTCTCCCAGGTTAGAGTGTGATCTCCTTGAGAAACTGGAACAATGTCTTATATATCATGTAAACTCCAGAGTTCAGTATAGTGATTTGTTCACAGAAAGAACTAATAAGTGGTGTTTTCATGAATGACATCATTTCCTAACTCTTTACATTTTTCTCTCACTGGTTTTCCTTAGATTTGTTTCTCATTTTGAAAGCAGTATGCACATATATGAAATTTCACAAAAAATTCATAATTTTTTTCAGAGATAACTATTTTAACATTTTTGTATTATCTCTATTTTTTCAGTGCATACAAAGATATATTTTGTTATGATTTTGTGTCATATACTATATTTTATTATCTTATTTTACTGAGCAAAATATCTATAACATCTCTCCATGTTGTATTTTTTGTTCCTGCTGTTAGGTAATGATTTTTTTCCTAGATTCTAGAATAGTGGTAATGTTGAATTAGTTTGCTTAGCATGTCCTGAAAAAAATCAAATAGTCCTAAAGGGCATTTA